AAAAAAAAAACAAAGAAAGTTGAAATACTAATATCAAATGAATTTGTAATATTTCAATTATTACTATTCTTCTTCAAGTAAAAAGTTAATTAATTCTTTTTTTTTAGTTAATGTATTTTCATTTGATATTTTCTTTACCATATCTTTTAAAATTTGTGTATTTGTTCTATTTAATAAATTAGCAAATCCTGTTAAAATAGCTTCATTCATTAATGCCTTAACTGTACTAGTATCAGCATCAGAAACTAATGCAAACATATCTTTCTTAATATATTCTGGAACTTTTTTAAAAAACTTTTCTGCACCATTCTTTTTAATGAAATTAATAATATGTTTATTTAAACCAGCTCTTGTTTTTACTATATTTTCTTTTTTATCTTTAATACGATTAAATATTTCTTGAAGTGAAGTAACTGTGAGGTCATCGAGAACAATAATAGTTCCAGTTATACTACAATAGTCAATCTATATTATTATTATTTATTTCTTCTTTTATTCTTTATCTTCTTTTTTTTTGTTATTGTATTATTTGTGTTATTAAAAATAGACTCTCTGTTAAATAGACTCATTCTCATTGAAATAATTAATTCTTTTTTAATGAACAATTCACAAACTATACTTTCAATAAGATCTGATCGATTTAGATTTGAAACTTCTTGAATATTAGCTAATTCTCCAATGATTTGGAGTGTTAATAGATCTTGTTTTCTTAGAATTTCTTCAGTTTTCATTCTGTAGATTCAAGATCTGTATTTTTAGTTGATTCTTTTTTCATTTTTCCTTCAATTTTTCTTTTCATTCTTTCTATTTTTATAGTTCTTATTTCTATTTCTTTTCTTTTACCCTATTTTAGGGTTTCTTAATTTCTTATATTGTTTATTCTAAATTTATAATTTGTTTTATATCCCGTTATTTTTGAACTTTCGTCTTAAATCTTAAAAGATGATTTTAACATGTTAAGTCTCTGGAAATTAATTCCTGCTCTTGAAGTATTATTATCTGCAGTTAACATTAATAGTCATATGTTGTATTATAGTAAAACTTCATTAATTTATGATAGAGATGAATTTAAAATATTTAGAACATTAAATAACATGTCAATCACTTTAGCAATATTCATGTTAGTTGGTGGAATTGCATCAATTGTTATGATTCATTTTAAAAAAAGGATTATTATGATAATAAATATTTGTGTTCAAATTATTGTTGTAGGAATGGCAATAACAGCTATTGGATATTCATCATATATTCTCATTAAAGCACAACAAGTAATATTAAACTATTGGAATATAACAACATTAACAAATACAGATGATATACCAATTAGTCAATTAATAGAAGCATCAGTTTGTTTAATATAACATATGAAATAATAAATATGAATAATTATATGTAGTTTAGGTGTTGTGGTTATGACTCTATTTCACCATCTAATTGTGCTTGTAAAAATCCAATGTGTTTTGATATATTATGCAAAACAAAATTTGAAGGATTAATACAAGCATGTAATATGACACTATTTATCACACATATTATATGTGGGATAGTTGTAACAGCGACATTAATTTCAGATATATATTCAATGGTGAAAAAAGATAGACCAAAATATATTCGATTTCAATAAGAATAATATAATTTACTATTTATTATAGTTCATTTAAAACACTTAAATACTATTAATTCATTTCATGGAAATATCACGTGAAGAACAACTTAAAAAGGAAACAGAAGAAGTTTGAAATTATTTTAATCAAATTTCAAAGATAATTGAAAGAAATCTCATAACATCAGGAATTAAGTAAATCAATGATTGCATTTCAAGAAATGCTTCGGTTATTATCAGTTCATCCATTTGGAAATAAAGAAGAAATTTTAACTAAATCAAATGAATTTCTATCAAAATTAGAAATTGCAGAAAAGAAATTTGTTGAATTACAAAAAGTGATATATGAAGATATCGATGATGATGAAAATCAATTACCAATAACTCAACAACAACTCCAATCAAAGATGACTGAGATATATTACTTTTTAGATGAATTAAAAAAAGTACAAAAAGAACTTAAAGAATTAAATGTTATAAAAGAAAAATAAATTTAATGTTGGTTTTATCATTTCTTATTTAGTTAAATGAAACAATACACTTATAACTAATACTATTACACAAACAATAGTTGGTCCCCATTTAAAATAAATTTCTTGATTTGATGAGTTTGTTATTGATTCATCTTTAAGTTGATTCAATTGATTTTGTAATGAAATAATTTGATTGTCTTTTTCTATTAAACGATTATTCATTTGTTCTTCAATTTCTTGTTGTTGTTTTTTATAATGTTCAGTAAGTTTGATTATTTCATCTTTTCCTTTTAATAATGAAAGTAAATGCTCCCGTTCTTTTGTTACTATGTCATTTTCTAATTCTTTGATTTTATTTTTTAACACTTCATTCTCTTGTTTCAACCCATTGCTCCTCTGTTTGAATTCTTCTGATGGTTGTGGTGTGTCTTCTTTGTTGTTACTTTGTAATGTATCAACTATTTTTTTTCCAGCACTACCAACAATAAATGTTGTAGCAACTTTTCCACAAGCAGAGATGAGTGGAGGTAGAATTTGTAAAGCCATGTCAGAAGGGGTTGAGTAAAAATTAAAGATGTTAATTTTCTTTAAGTAAAAATTAATTACAAAATAACAATTTAAAAATGTTTTGTTATTTGATTTTTATTATTCATTTCACATCAAAAAAAAGAGTGCGGATTTACATCAATCTTTTTTTCTTAAAACCAGAAGAATTAAAAGTATAAAAAAAATAGAGAGATAATTAATATATGTTTGGAATAGTTGATGCGTAATAACATGAATTATTTTTGTTTTAATGATCTGAACTCAAAAATTGAATATCTATACTAACATGGAAATTAATAAAAAATTAGAAGAACATATTGTTTATATTAAAGGAAATATTCGTGATACAATAGTAAGTTTGTCTAATCAAAAAACAATATGGAAATACTTTTCCAAAGA